ACACTCTGTGCTCCAGCTTTATTACTTTGCCCAAACACACAATGAACACCAACAATGATGATTTCTGAATGCATACCAGAAGTGGTCCAGGCTTAGATCAGTTTAAATATACCTACTCTGAACCTTCCCTTCCTCTTAGCACCCAGTACAGTGAAAGACATCTGTTTATTCATAGTTAAAATGGTTGATCGATTACTGTCATTGTATATTTCAATTAATCCCCCAAGAACCAGATAAAGTAGTTATTACTTTCATTTTATAGGTAAGGAAATGGATGTTCTGAGTGGTTACAAATCTTGCCTAAAATCACACAATGTAGCAGAATTATGATCCCAACTATGCAGTCTTTATCTTTAAGGAGCTCTGGTAGCATAGTGGTTATGAATCGAGCTGCTAAGCTCAAGGTCAGTAGTCTGAAACTACCAGCTCTTCTGCAGGAGAAAGATGAGGCTTTCTGCTCCTGTAAAGATTGACAGCCTTGGAAACCCTATACAGAGTTCCTTTGAGTTGGAACCACCACCACAGTCTTTACCTTTACTCTACATCCTCTTACTAAGCACTTAGACCACATTCTCTTAACTTTTACTTCCCAACCAAATCGTCACCTTTTTAGAATCAGGTACTGGTCTCTTTTATCTTTATATACTCAGTGTCTACCATAGTGCCTGACTGTTAACTGAATGAAAAAGGGTTCCCGAACCCTGCTTTTAGAAAGATTGAAGTCATTGGTTCCACTTGAGATACTTTGAAATGCAATGAGACACAACTGTGGTTCCGTCTAGACCTAGGACTTCATGTAGTTTCAGAGTTATGGTTAGGGCTAGGAGTAAGGTTTGATCTAGTTTTAGGGTTGTTGTTGTGAAGTCTCGTCGAGTCGGTTCCGACCCATAGCGACCCTGTTTAGGGTTTCCAAGGAGCAGCTGGTGAGCTTGAACCATCTATCTTGCAGTTCAAACGGCTTTGCAGTCTGGTGCATTAACCCATAGCACCACACCAAGTTTATTTTTTCTTGACATCTATTTGATTTCCACTTCATTTAGAAGTTCTGTAAATTACATTATTTACTCTTTACATTATGGTTTTGTTGTTGTTACAACTGGTATCTTTAGATCCTTACTTTCAATTCTGTAGGTTTGTTTTACTTTGAATACTTGTATATCTGGTTGGTGTTTCGGTGTGGCACTGTAGGTTGGCTATTCAAACTCACCACCCGCTCCTCAGAAACCCTGTTCAGGGCGCTATGAGTCGGAACGGACGTGACAGTTGTATGCTGGGTGATACTGTCATGTATGTTAGTCTCAGGTTGTTACCTGCTGTTGTTGGTACTCTGTCCAAAGAACTTCCTCTAGTATGTTTTGGTCTGGTTTTCGCATATTCTTTTAAATTTTGTTTATCTGGAAAATGTCTTAATTTCTCCATCATATTTGACAATTTTGCTGGGTATGATTCTTGGGTTGGCCATTTTTTTTCTTTCATATACAAAACTCTGTCAACCCATTGTCTTCTTGCCTTTGTGGTCTTTTTTAGCTGTCCCTTGTATGTAACTTTTCATTTTTCCCAAGCTGCTCTCATATATTCTTCTTCTTGATAGTGTCCCATATAAATAGACTTTTCTTTGGAGTTTTAAATTCTTTCTCCTCTAACAGATGAATATAGTTTTCAAGCTCAGTAATTCAACCTTCCATTGTTTCAGTTCTACTTCTTTGCCCATTCAATGTACTATTTCTAAAATCTTAATATTAATCTTCTAGCTTTCTAATTGTTGTTTTTGTATGGTTTCCAATTTTTCATATACTTTGTCTCATTTGGTCTTGTAATATTTTCCTAAAGTTTTTTCTGTGTTATCTTGGCTCTCCTCAATTTTATCTCAACCAATTGAAGGTACCTAAATATCATTCTTTTACATTTTTCATAGTTCTGGTACCATTTCTGATAGACTATCTTCTGATTCTGTATTTGGGTCACTTGTTTGAGGCACTTTGTCTTGTTTCTTAGTGTAAGCTGAAATTGTGTGTTCTCTCTGAGTATTTAGTTTAGTGATTGTGCGTTGGTGTGTTCTCAGGCACTCACCACATGCTGGATGTGACAGAGACTGGCAGTTCTTTGTTCGCTGGCTATGAGGCATAGTTCAGGATAGGTTCACGCTCCTCCAGAAACAGAGTGGCACTACCCAGTGCCTGACTCCAGGTAGAGCAGAGCTGCATGGGAGAAAGTGCACTGGCTGCTCTGTTGGTAAGGGCAGGGACTGGACACACCCCAGGCTACCAGGAGTGCACAGGACAAGGGAGAACCATACCCCCTTGCCACCAACCTTCAGTTGTGTCCTGTGCATGCAGGCCACTCCATCAGCAGCCATTCAGAGAAGCTCAACATGGCTGCACTATTCCAGGCAGCTGAGAGCCACCCCACTCCCATTTTTCTTCTCTCTCACTGCTCCCATTGGGATTCCTCTTCCAATGGGCACTCAATCCACCCTCAGCCCTCTGCACTGAAGCTCAAGGTTCTAGGATCCCCACCAGTACCTGCTTCACTTGCTCCCAGGTTTTGTTGCAGAGACTACTCCACCATCTTTACACCCCTGATTTGAAGTTTTTGTCTGAAAAATAATTTTTTAAATTAAATTTTCACTTATTTTTTTATCATCACTATTATAATTACACAAAAACATTACAACTTTCTGAAGATGTAAGCCAAATTAGACACCAGAGCCACCAATACCAATGACCATGTGTTTCCTTGAGAAAACTGGAAGATCTTTAGTCTAATGAAACAAAAGGAGCAAGCAGAAAACTCTGCCACTGCTGATTAGTTACCAGTTTCATAGTTATATAAAGGGCTCAATCAGACCTACAATCAAGTCTTTTAGAAATGCCAAAATTCACTGGTGGGTGAGGATGAGAGCAAATGTTTTAATTCAGGCTTTTTACAACCATTAGTAATGAACTATGATTGAGACAAGTTCCATTGTTACAGTAACTCAGAATCATGTAAAAATAATAATTTTAGTTCTTTTATAAGAAGGCAGAATATATTAGCATTTAATCTGCCTGAAAATAACAGTGAGTCACCAGAACTATAAAGATGGCAGTCAGTCATTCAGTCAACAACACTGAAGAAGGCCTGCTGTATGGAACCTCGTTACCAGGAAACAATACTGGTGGTGGAGGCTCAGGTACATTGCTACTGTTATACATTCCCTTTCATGTTTTTGCCATGGTTGCTTTTTTTCACCCCCAGGAAGCACCAACAAATAAACTTCTCTATGCCAAGGATATCCCAACCTATAAAGAGGAAGTCAAATCTTATTATAAAGCAATCAGGGATTTGCCTCCATTGTCATCATCAGAAATGGAAGAATTCTTAACTCAGGAATCTAAGGTACCATTAGAAAACAGACTTAACTTATATTGGGTTACTTATTTAAGAGAAACAGAATTTCTCAACAAGCCTTTCTTTATTTAAGAAACATGAAAATGAATTTAATGAAGAAGTGGCCTTGACAGAAATCTACAAATACATCCTAAAGTATTTTGATGAGGTAAGATTTCAAATTAAAGCTTTTTTTTTTTTTCCTATCTATGAATCAATCCCAGGGATTTGGGTATAGCATTCTATGGGTCACAGGACTGCTCTGGCATCCCAAACAGCCAGGATCTTGGCATTAAGCCAGCACCTGTCCCTGGCTGCCCCTGCGAGTTTTATCATGCTGCCTACCTTTGGAGGAGCCTGAATTTACGTTTGAGTTCATGTGGCCTATAGCCACACTGACTCAAATTAACTTGGATGAGTAAATAGTTGTCCTATTAAATGGGACCAGCTTATGCTGGATTGTAATCTGCTAAAATGAAAGCTAAGATTCTGTATTCAACAGTTATATGACTTAAGAAAAGATTTCAATAAACCATTCTCCTTTATGATTAATTCTCCTAAATCTGGATTTTTTTTTTCTTTGGGAATTCACACAGACACATTGATCAGATGCACTGTTTCCAAATATATGTTAATCCCCCCCTTCCCTGATTCCCCCCCGCTCAGTCATGCTGGGACAGGCTATCCATGTCAGTGGTGAGAATAGCTCACCCATTCCATTTGCTACTTGAAGATCAAGTGAAGCGCTCAGGTAGGGTAGAGGAAATGAGTTCCTTCCACATGATAAGCATCCCTCTTTCCAGGGGTTAGGGGCAACAAGGGAAGCACTGGGGAGGGGAGAGGAGATGAGGGACTACACTGCACAGGAGGGGAGGGGTGGGGGAGGGAAATGTTCATCTCTTACCAAGATGCCCCTGCTTGCTGCACTGAAGGAGAAATATTCATACTTGCTTGCATGTTGGCTGCCCAGGAATGCTTGCTGTGCTTGGAATGGCTGTGACACAATGCATAAAGCAGGGCCTTGAAGTCTGGCCCCATATTTGTAAGCAAATAGTTGGTATTTCTTGTGAGCTTCTATTTTAAGCCAAAGTGTTGTTGATCCTGTGATAATGACTTAGCAAAACAACTTGCAAAGTGAGTACGTAAATGATCGGAGAAAATGTTGGCATCTGTTTCATACAGATTTTACCGCTCACAGCATCAGGAATGCAAAAAAACAAAACAAAACAAAATTTAAAAACAAAAAAGCAAACCAGTTTAATGCTAAAGCCACAATCTCTAAAATAACTGTTCTAATTGTCAACAGATTCTAAATAAACTAGAAAGAGAACGAGGGCTGGAAGAAGCTCAGAAACAACTCTTGCATGTAAAAGTCTTATTTGATGAAAAGAAGAAATGCAAGTGGATGTAAGCACTCTGGGGCCTGGCTTAATCTGGCAAAGTTCTTCCGAAGACTTGGGAGCAAAATGGCTGCTTGGGTTACTCTGTGTCGTTCAGTTTTTCAGTTTGCACATAGGCTCCACTGTCTTTGTAAGAGACCAGGTACATGCACAGCTTTTAGAAAGCAGACCAAACATTGTGCCTGTGGGAACCCTTCTGTAAATAGAGTCGAAGTGGGTGTTGCAGAGAATACAGGGCCAGTAAGCACGTGTCAATATTGTTAACTACAGTCTCCGCTTAAGCACAATAATACAAGTGGTTTTGTTTGAAAGCTACAGCTAGATGCACGTGTGACTACACTGCACCTCTGCAGAAAGGGGACACTGCCAGTGCTCAACACAAAAGGTGAAATGAGTCATTTGGAAACAAGGTGGGGTGCTAGGGCAACCTCGAGGATTCACAGCATTGAAACTTACCCCAGTAGTTCTTGGAAAAGCTGACCGCAGAATTTGGTAGTGTGTACACTTAGCATTCGTGAGTGTGTGTGTGTGTGTGTGTGTTTTTAAACCAAAAACTAACAGTGTTGCAACATTGTTGAAAGGGCTCGTGTTTTTCAGTGGTCACCAACTGCACTCCATCACACTCACCTCCATTTCACCAAGGCGCGCTAAAGCAAGGAGACAATGTATACTTTCCTCCAATGCAAAGATGCCCTTTTGTCTTTCTCCACTTTATTATTATTTTTTTTTTATACTAACTATTTGATTGTGAGTACTGTTTCAGAGAAAAACCTCACTAGCAGTTTATGGAACGCTCTGTGAACAAGTAGCTCACTCTTACAATTCTACATATCTAGACTGGTGTCTCCTTGCTTTAGATTTCAAGTGAACCCTGTGGTTATAAATACTAGTGTGTGGTTTAAAAAAAAAATACATTTTGCATTTCATGAAATTGCTGTTCACACTGGAGTATTATATATAAATATATATATTTAAGGCTCAAGGCCTGAAAATATTAGTATACAACTTGGTATCTTAGTCTTACTCTGTACTTTTTGAAAGTATTCCTCACAGGAGAAAGAATTAAAACCACCCACTTTATTCATGCCTTTCTTTTTAAAAGAATTCCCTTTTCTGTAGTCTTTTTATTGCTGATTTTTTTATTCCTGAATTTTTGCTGCTCATGACCAATTTTCATACCACTGTGTTTTCCTTTTATGAAACCAGAAAGAAGTAAAAAGCCTAACTGCCAACTCTTTCAAGCTTTTCTGTGGCACCTTGTACCCTTGGTGCTCCAAATTCTCCATCTAGGAAATACGTTTTTTCCAAATAGCAAGCAAAACATTGATCACACATTCCTTAAAGTCATTTACCAATACTGTATGTAACATCTGGATTTAAACATGAAATCTTAGATGAATTTTTTTTGCTCCCCAGTATCTGATAAAAAGTGAGGAAGGTGACACCTCAACCAGCGGATCATTAAAGACACAGTTACTGCCCTGAGAGGCACCTTCCCAACCCTGTTGCTTTTGACCATTGTCTGTCCAATGGACACACCTCAAAAAATACTACCAAATAGGTTCCTTATAAGTCTGAAGTTGAGAGGTCTGGCCCCATCGAAGGCTGCTACAGTCATGAAAGGTGTGAAGGAGCTCCTAAGTGAACCCTAGCAGCAAAGTTGAGAGCCAAGGGTAGGAGAGTTGCCCAAGATGTTCCCTTCTTTAGGGTACAGAAATGCTAAGAAATAAGAAAACTCAAAGGATCAGCTACAGCTTTATTTAAGTATTTACTAAATGCTACAGATGAGGATGTCCCTGTCCAGCCCACTGACACACAAGTCCTGTGTGGAGAACTACTTGCTCTTCCACGGACTGTGCTGTTGGGAACTTTGGACAAGTCACTTAACCTCTTTGTGCCTCGATTTCTGTATAATATTTCTAACCTACCTCACTGAGGTGGTGTCAAGATTCACTAATGTATGTAGCGTGTTTGTCAATCCTCCAGTGAAAAGCACGATCTAGATCCACAGTTTGGATCATATTAGCCAAACCCAGAAAATGGCCAAATCAGATGTGTGCTGAGGACAATCAGTCACTGGGTCCATATAAAACAGTAACCAGAGAAACAAATGGCAAACAATTTCTATTTTCAAGTTTCTTTGCATATTTTTTTGGTGCAAAACGATTCATTTATAAACTTTTTTTTCTAACACTAGTGTCTACAGCAGCATTTAAAAATTATTTGGTTACCTTTTCTGTGTTAGGATTTGAAGTCTTTTTCTTATTGTATACTTGATTGAAGCTGTTCTTGGAGATGAATGTTTTAAATGTCTATATCCAAAAATAAACATTTTGATGTAACCGTGGACTCTGTCTTTTTTTCTTGCTTGCTTTCAATTTCAAGCAATAGTTGTTGTTTTTTAATTCTAAGTGTCTGCATGAAAACTAATTATTTCCCAGAAGCAAGATGCCACTGTATACTGTTTATGAATAAGCAGATCTACATTAAATAAATCTAAAGCTAGTTTCTTGCTAACTGATGCTAAGGGCAGTTCAAATACATTCCAGTCTCAAAGACTTCTGGGTAATGACTCTTCCACTCAGTTTGGCAGGCTTGAGCTTTGCCTTGTTGACATGAATTACTCCAGCAGAATTCCTCTAAAAGACGTTACATGAAAAGCTTCTGGTAGGGGCACAATGGAAAAAAAGTACATAATGGCATGCTTGGGGATGTGCAGAACTAAAACACTGGTCATTATTTGGTTAGAATCAACATAACAGAACACAAATTTAAATACCAACTTGTATAGGAAACCTTCTGAGTTCAAGTTTTATAATCAATGCCCCCCCCCCTTCTTTTACTACACCAAAAGGATTAAACTATTTGAACATCACTTTTTTCTATTAATTCTAACTCAAAGCCAAACTCAATGAAATCCACACATTGCTAAATATGTATCGTCAAGGTGAAATTAAGCATAAGACGATATAGTTTAGGTAGAAAAATATTTATTAAGCTCTATAATAAATTAAGTGCACACAGGTTTTAGAAAAGGTATCTTTTTGTAATGAACATATATTTAGATAACTTATTTTATTTTTTAAGCTGACTTTTTAAATTGTCATTTTTTTTCGAGAACTAGAGGTTTATAACTCCTCTGTATATACAGTAAACCAGAGGATGTTTGTTGCCCCTACTATGCCAGACATCTCAAGGATGAAGCAGAGGGAATTCATCATGGGCACATTTTAGGCAAAATGCCAAAAAAAGTAAAAAGTCAATAAATACTTTATCTCTGAAATAATTTCTCTTAATGCTTCATTTGCCATTAGTATCTTAAAATCCCAAACTAATGAAATACAGTATAGGAGTTGGTACCTTTCCTCGAGGCACATGCAAGCGTTTTGGCAAACAGTAATGAAGTATCTAGATGCCACATACAGTAAAGCTTTACTGAGTCACTGCTTTCACCACTTCTGATCTGTCTTTTCTCTAAGACCATCAGTCCCCAGGAGATCCAAGTTCCTCTAGCTGTTTTCTTTGTGTTGTTTCCAGTTCTTCTAGTCTTTTACGCAGTAAAGAGAGTTCCCTTTGATGTTGTTCCTCCTTGAAATGTGAAGAAAGCACAAATTACTAAAAGAAAAACTAAGGAAAAGTAACTTAAGCAGCAGCCTCAGACAGCCTCTTTCATATAGACCTGCAACATCTGGCAAGCAAACAATGAGCGTTTTAGCAGTTTAAGAACAGAGCAGCATGGGCTAGACCACTAAGCAGTCCTCACTTCTCTGCTGCCTTAGGTTCTAACCTTAAGCATTACAGAGTCAGTCTTTTTCTTTTTTTTTTTCCTAGCAGAAAAATTCATTCAGGGAGTGATTTAGAAAATGCTAATGTGAGGCCCAGGTGTGCTTCTACTGCAGCTGTCTGACAGAACTGGAGTTTAACAGGAACATATTATAAACAATGCACTTAGTGACTAAATCTTCAGGGCTTACATTATTATAAAATGCAATTACTTATTAATAGTCTATCTTCTAAAAATCATTCCATCAATTTGATTCCTTCAATATTTCAGTTTACTGATATAGTAGAATGAGATCGGATTTTGGAATCACACAGATTTAGGTTTGAAACTCAACTCTTTCACTTACTAGCCATGTTGTTAGGCACTGAGTTAATTTCAAGTCACAGCAACCCCATGTGGCAGAGTAGAACTCCATAAGGATTTCTCAGCTACAGCACTGTAGGGTAAGCATAGGACTGCTAACTGAAAGGTAGGCAGATCAAACCCACCCACCAGCCTCTCTTCGGACACCCTATACAAGATTGCCGTGAGTCAGAATTGACTCAAGGACACTTAAAATCAATAAAGTTTTCTTGAACTGATTGCCAGATCTTTCAGAAAGTCACTAGCTGGGTTTGAACCACTCACTAACCTCTCAGTTAACAAAGGCTTAACTATTACACCACCAGGGCTCTGTTATTACCTCTGGCCTTATGCAAGTCACTTCACCTCTCCAACTCAGTTCCCTCATGTATAAATTGCTGTTGTTAAGTGCCATCTAGTCGATTCCAACCCACAACAACCCAAGATACACCAGAATGAAACATCACCCAGTCCTGCAACATCCTCACAATTCCTGGTACACCTGAGTCTACTGTTGCTGCCACTGTGCCAATCCATCTCGTTAGGGGTCTCCCTCTCTTTCACTGTCCCTCCACTTTACCAAGCATGATATTCTTCTTCTCCAGGGACTGGTCCCTCCTGACAATATGTCCCATGTATGACAGACAAAGTCTGGCCATCTTGGTTTCTAAGGAACATTCTGTTTGCACTTCTTCCAACATACTTTAGTTTGTTCTTCTGGCAATCCATGGTGCCTTTAATATTCTTCTCCAACACCATAACTCAAATGCATCAATTCTTGTGTGGTCATCATTATTAAATGTCTAACTTTCACATGCATATGAGGAAATTAAAAATACCATGGTAGAGTCAGGCACACTTTAGTCCCCTAACATCTTTGTTTCTTCAACACTTTAAAGAGCTTTTATGCAGCAGAGTTGCGTAATGTAACTTGTCATTTAATTTCTTGACTGCTGCTTCCATGAGTATTGATGGTGGAGCTGAGCAAAATGAAGTAAGTCTTCGACAACTTCAATATTTTCTCCATTTATCTTGATGTTTATTGGTTCCAATGTGAGAATTTTTGTTTTCTTTACATTGTGGTGCAATGCATACTGAACACTGTGGTCTTTGATCTTCATCAGTATCTATTTTAATTCTTCTCAACTTTCAGCAAGCAAGGTTGTATTATCTGCATATCACAAATTGTTACTAAGTCTTCTATCCTGATGCCATGCTTATCAGATTATTTGCTTAGCATATAGATTGAATAAGTATGGTGAAAGAATACAACCCTGGCATATACTTTTCAGATTTTACACCATTCAGGGTCCCCATGTTCTGTTCTGTTTAAATGACTGCCTCTTGGTCTATGTACAGGTTCCTCATTAGCATGAACAAGTATTCCGGAATACTAATTTCTAAGGTTTTGTCCATAGCTTGTCATGAACAAAAGCCTTTGCGTAGCCAATTAAGTATAAGTAAACATCTTTCTGGAGTCCTGATGTGGTGCTGTGGGTTAATGTGCTGGATTGCAAGGTCAGTGGTACAAGCTCACCAGCCGCTCCTCAGAAACCCAATATAGGGTCGCTATGAGTTAGAACTGACGCTATGGCATACAACAACAACAAACATCTTTCTGGTTTTCTCTGCTTTCAGCCAAGATCCATCTGACGTCAGCAATGATATCCCTCATTCCACGTTCTTGTCTGAATCTGGCTTGAACCTCTGGAAGTTCCCTGTCAATATATGATTATAACTGTTTTTGTATTGGTGGTGGTAATGTGCCATGAAGTCGTTCCAACTCATAGCGACCCTGTACAGGGTTTCCGAGGCTGTAAATATTTACGGGAGCAACAAGCCTCATCTTTCTCCCACGGAACAGCTGGTAGTTTTGAACTGCTGACCTTATTTAAGGTTTGCAGCCCGGTTCATAACCACTACACTGCCAGAGCTCTTCACATGGGATATCAATGATATCGTCTCACGAGTTCTGCTTTACCGTCAGGTCACTTCTCTTAGGAATGGGCACAAATATGGATCTCTTCCAGTCAACTAGTCAGGCAGTTGTCTTTCAAATTGTTGGGCATATATGAGTGAGTGCCTCCAGTGCTGCACCAGTTTGTTGAAAGATTTCAATTTGTGTTCCATCAATTCCCAGTGCTTTGTTCTTTGCCAGTGGCTTCAATGTACTTTGGACTTCTTCCTTCAGGACCACTGGCTCTTCATCATATGCTATCCCTTGAAATGGCTGAACATAGACCATTTCTTTTTGGTACAGTGACTCTGTGTATTCCTTCCATCTTCTTTGGATGCTTTCTCCATCATTCAATATTTTGTCCAGAGAATCCTTTAGTATTGCAAGTCAAGGCTTCAGTTTGATCCTCAGTTCCATCAGCTTGAGAAACGCTAAGTGTGTCTTTCCTTTTTAGTTTCCAGATCTTTGCACATTTCATTTTAATATTTGACTTTGTCTTCTTGGGCTGCCCTTTGAAATTCCATGTTCAGTTAATTTACCTCTTCATTTCTTCCATTTACTTTATTATCTCTACACTAGAGAGCAAGATTCCAACTCTCTTCTGACAGTCATTTTGATCATATTTTTCTTGTCTTCTGAATGACATTTTGCTTTTTTCCTGTATGATGTTTTTGATGTCATCCACAAGTCTTCTGGCTTTCAGTCATTAGTGTCTAATGTATCAAATCTGTTTTTGAGATGATCTCCAAATTCAGGTAAGGTATGTTAAAAGTCATATTTTGGCTCTTAGGGTTTGCTTAAATTTTCTTCAACTTTGGCCTGAGCTTGCATATGGTCAATTGATGGTAAGCTCCACAATCTGCCCCTGGCCTTTTTTTTGGCTACTGATATGGAGCTTTTTCCATCATTTCTTTCCACAGATTTAGTCAATTTGATTTCTGTGTATTCTATGTAGTGAAATTCATGTGTATAATCATCTTTTATGTTTTTAAGAAAAAGGTATTTGCAATGAAGTCCCTAGTCTTGCAAAATTCTATCATGTGCAAGTTAAGAATAATAATAACTGGTGCCTTAAACCATTTTTCATTGTTGTTGTTGTCATATGCCATCGAGTTGGAACCGACTCATAGCGACCCCATGCACAGCAGAACGAGACAATGTCCGATCCTGGGCCAACCTCACTACCGCTGCCACACTTGAGTCCATCAATGATGCTACCTGGCCAATCCATCTCATTAGGGGTCTTCCTCTTTTTCTCTGATCCTCCACCTTACCCAGCATAACATCCTTCTCCAGCAACTGTTTCCTCCAGACAATATGTCCAAAGTAGGAGAGACGAAGCTTTGTCATCCTGGCCTCCAAGGAGCACTCTGGCTGCACTTCTTCCAAAACAGATCTATTGGTTCTTTTGGCAGTCCATGGCACTTTCAGTATTCTCCTCCAACACCACAACTCAAAGGCATCAATTCTTCTACGATCCTCCTTAATCACTGTCCAGCTTTCACATCCATATGAGGCTATTGAAAACACCATGGCCTGGGTCAGGTGCACCTTAGTCCTCAAGCTGACATCTCTGCTCTTCAATACTTTAAAAAGTTCCTGTGCAGCAGATTTGCCTAATGCAATACTTCGTCTGATCTCTTGACTGCTGCTTCCGCGAGTGTTGATAGTTGATCCAAGAAGAATGAAGTCCTTGACAACTTCAATCTTTTCCCCATTGATAAGAATGTTATTTATTGGTCCAGTGGTGAGGATTTTTGTTTTCTTGACATTGAGATGTAATCCATATCAAAGACTGTGCTCTTTAATCTTCATAAGTAAATGTTTCAAGTCCTCTTCACTTTCAGCGATCAAGGTTGTATCATCTGCATATCGCAGGCTGTTAATGAGTCTTCCTCCAATCCTTTCATTAGGATTAGATAAAAAACAGTACCTGGTACTAGTAAATACTCAATGGTACATGAGTGAGCTACAAACTCGGTTATTCAGGAAGAATTAAGTTTCTTCTTTTCTATTGGCCAACTGAGTATTCTACTCTTGGCACCATCACTAAAAGATTTCTCTGGTCAATGAAAGGGAAAAGTTAAAACTGACTGGGCTTAATTGGAATAAGTTACTTTGATAGCTAATTCTGAGTACTGATCATTCACAGGCTTTTTAACTTTTTATTTAAACAGGTAAAAACCTACAGAAATGTTTGCCTACCTTTTTCCCCTAACATAAATATACATACCTGAAGATGAGGAGGAAAGGAGAGTTCCATGCCTGGAATCATGTTTGATGACTGAAGGCTAACAGGATGGATAGATGCTGTCGGAGGCATGTTAGGAACCAAAATTAAACTGCGAAATTCATTATGCCTTCTCTGTATATCCTTTAGTCTTTTTTGAATCCTTGTATATTCTTCGATTGGAACATTTTGTCTTAAAAGGGGAAAAAAATCATGTTACTCTTCTTTAATATAGTTATACTGGACAGAAGAGAAGTATGGTTCACAGAATATAATTTTTAATGAGAGAAATTAATTTCTAAATTAGAAATTTTATCTATATATAGATAGGTAAAATTCCCATTACCCTAAAGGATAAACAGAAATCTGACATTGCATCATAATCATATGTTACCATTAACAATGCCAGTTATCACCTTACTCAAAAGTTTCATTTGTGCTCTTGAAACCAAGAAAGACACCCTTTATCTTACAGAAGGAAACAAATGGAAATACAGAAAACACTAGGCTGTACCTTATGAAATTGCCACTTTTATGGAAGAACTACTGTCATATATAAGTTCATATGGCTCAACCTAATTTTTAAAATGTAAAAAAGGGAAATTGAAAAGGGGAAGTTACCCAACTTTAGAAAAATGAGCTGGAAAAACAAGCTAACTTGTAAGCCTTTAACAGATCATCTAATTGGTCCTAACACAACAATTACTCGAAGTTTACCATGTTCTGTGCCATAGCTGCCCAATCTTGAAGTGATATTTCAATATCAATTAGAATTAATGGAAAAGGTAAGTAAGTTGACGTTGTTTTAGAATTTGGTGTTTAGAATGAATGTGCTTTGGAACAGAGTATTACATAGTTGGCATTAATTCCACAGTCTAGAAGCTTCTGTTCTAAGAAACAGCTGTTGACATTTTGGTAACATTTATACCCAGTGTACATCATAAAACATCACTTCTTAATATAACAGACAATTTCTATAACAGTACTTGAAGACCTAAAGTGCTGAAGGCTACCACTAATTAGCTGAATCTGAAAAGATTTTTTTTTTATTAACTGGAATCAAATGTGTTATAAATGCAACTAATGATTCTTTCAATCCTTTGAGAAATATGTAACTTAAAAAAAACACCTGACTAAATATGGTAACTCTTCTCCACTTAAAAAAGGATACCAGTGCTGATTATTGGCCGTGCTTGGATGTCTCTGCAAAAGCCAAAGCTATAGCCCAATAATATTTCCACATGGTGTAACCAAAATCTGATCTTTGATTCAAAGCTACAATTTAAAGCTCTATGCAACAGCTGCAGCTGTTTTGATGTCTCAGCAGCAAGAATTTTGTACCACTCCTGGGTACCAAAGCAAGCTCCTGTGCATGCTGATCTCTCCTATCAGTCCTAAGCACAACACAAACACCTGGCAAATCTAGTAATATTTTGGTGTGAAGAACATTCCGTCTGAAGAAGGGAGACAGAAATGAATAATGGAGTTAGGGGTATCAAACAGATTTAGAATTTTTTAAAACACAGTACATAGTTAAAAAGAAAATATAATGTGTATTATACTAAGAAAGTTTTATAACATCAAAATAAGCATATGGATGTCTATAGACATAAAACATTACCTATTCAACACCTGATTTTCTGTTTCCAATTCTTCTCTCTTTGCATCCAAAACTTCTACTTTTTCCTGAAGTCTCTTCAATTTGTTTTCATGAAGAGATTTTCTCTAGAAAAACAATTAAAATGAGCATATATCTTATTTGAACATAGTATCTTATTTGAACAAAATAATAGAGTGAATATTTGACTCTCCAAAAATCCTTTATTTAGAAATGAGTATTTATTATTTAGAAAAGATTAGTAGGTCTAACTGTAATTGAAAACTGCAAAGACAATAAAGCACAGACATACCTCCTATCTTCAATGTGACAAACTGAATTAGTATTTACGCCAAACCATAAAACTGGTCACAGTGACTAAATTGCTACAAGTAACATATCTGAGAAGATACCTGATATGAAATCACAAGCTCTTAATTTTCACAGAAGGTATCATGGGTTGAAAATAAATGAACAAAAATTCAAAATTAAAAGCTTGCTTGCATTAATAAATTGCTACTGAATTAAAGGATCAGAAAGGTAAGATTTTTGGATGCAGCTCAATTTCTAAATATTAATAAGGGAAAGAGAAAACTCTACACAAAGGGAAAATTTTTCTTAAAACAAACATGGTGTGGTTTCATTAAATAGTGAGGGGGAAAAAATCTACGTATAATGCAAAAAGTTTATGTAGGACAAAAAAAAATGTTTTTTTCAGTTTTATAAACAGTTTATTGGTTTTGTTTGTTAACAAGAAAATACCTACAATGTTAGAACTTATTTAGTAGCTATAAAAACTTGTGGATATTTTCCCCTTTTTTACTGATGTATAACAGGTTTATGGAACATAAATGTAAAATTCAATGGAAAACCACAGGCACACGCTGGTGTAATTGCCTGTTGTTGTTGTTGTTGTGAAGTGCCATCAAGTCGATTCCAACCCATAGCAACCCTGTATAGGGTTTCCAAGGAGCAGCTGGTGAGCTTAAACCACCGACCTTGCAGTTCAAACACTTTGCAGTATTCTCAATAAGAATACTGTCATGCCCAAAGCATCTCTACCCTTCAGCTCAAACAGACCCCGTCAGAAAGAGTAACGAATTGACTTCTAAAGCTCGAGCTAGCTTTTGCTTATTTTTGAATTTCATATAAATTGAATCATAGTATATACTTGTACAAGTGGCTATTTTCTTTTACTTAGTATTATGTTTGTAAGATTTCTTCATGTCATTGCTTACAACTATGTTTCATTCACTGTTACAGATGGTAGTCCACTTATGAACATTATATAATTTAGCACAGTAACCCAGTCCATGGTTAAGGGTCATTTGGGCTATTTCCATTTGGGACTACTAAAAATGATACTGCTAAGGCCATTCCATCACATGCTTCCCATTGCTCCACACCTTGCAGCAGCACGCAGAAGGCTCCACTGTGCTTCTCCCATACACCCTGGAAAGGAACCACTCTTCTGACCTTTATCACCATATGTATCCATTTACAGGTAATTAAAAAACCAAACACATTGCTGTCAAGTCAATTCAGACTCAAAGCAACCATACAGAACAGAGGAGTTTTCTGGATTTTAAATCTTTGTGAAAGCAGAGTGTCACATCTTTTTTCTGTATAGCAGCTTGTGGGGTCGAACCGTCAACATGTCTGTTAGCTTCTTTTACGTGTCTGTATCTCCATCCATTCATCCGTATAATAGAAATGATGTGGTATTACTCTTTTATATCTGTTTTTTCCCCCCTAAAACTATATCTAAATGTCTAAAAGTCATGTTATAGCTGTCACAGTAGTCCTTGTTCATTATGATATCATTTTCACTGTAAATTATGACTATATCATAATTTATCTGTTTTTGTACGGATGAAATCTGAATTGTATACAGTTTGGGGCCATTATGAATGTTTCATGAACATGACTTTTGAGGGACAGAAATACTCATTTCTCTTGAGTGTATTTCCAAAAGTGGGTCATGTTGTTGTCGTCGTTGTTGTCAGGTGCCATCGAGTCGGAACCAACTCATAGCGACACCATGCACAGAAGAACGAAACAATGTCTGATCCTGGGCCAACCTCAATACCGCTGCCACACTTGAGTCCATCAATGATGCCACCTGGCTGATCCATCTCGTTGGGGGTCTTCCTCTTTTTC